GGGTACAACGTGCACCGTCGAGATCGCGAGCGAGATAATGGTGGTGGCTTAGCGTTCATCACGCACCACACCGTGCAGTATCGTCTTATCGAAGCAGACATCGACCGCAGGGATACCACCCTAGAATGTCTGGGCATAGCAATCCGATCAGGCGATGTCGAGCTCGAAATATTTAACATATACATACCCCCTGTCACCTGCTGCCCGGCAGGATATCACCCTGATATAGGTGCGCTCCTCAGAGGTGAAAACCGTATGGTAGTAGGTGACTTTAATGCGCACCACGATCTTTGGCACTCAAGCCTGTCAAACGATCGTAGGGGAACAGACTTGGCTGAGCAGATAGACGATTCGACATTCTGCACAATGAACGACGACGCACCCACCGGATATATGGGCAGCTGCTGCACCTCGCCAGACATCACAATAGTCAGCGCTGGTCTGATAAACAGCATATCATGGCGACCTATGCTGACTTTGGCATCAGACCATCTGCCCATAGTCATCTCGATCGATAAACCAACCGACTTTGCTTCCGCGGAGCACCGAACATATATCAACTTTTCTAAAGCTGAAAGGCTTCGCGAAATTTACTGAAAACACCTACGCTGCTCTCCCCACACCAACCGACGTAAACCTTGGTAAACGTAAGTTCCGCAGGGCTTTCACCGCTGCTGCAGCTCGCTTCGTACCGGCAGGATGTATTACGGACCCACGTCCAAACTTCCCTGCTATAGCCTTCGTCAGGCCAATCCCGGAGATCGCCGTATCAGGGATCTCAACGCGGAGATTCGGCAACTACTAAACGCACATAAGCGGAAGAAGTGGGAAGAGCATCTGAAGACCTGTAACTTCGCCTCTGGTGTGAGCAAGCTTTGGTCAACCGTGAGGTCATTGTCTAATCCGACGAAGCACGACGACAGAGTCGAAATTTCCTTCGGCGACCATGCTTCGTCGGACCCGGAGCGATGCGCGAGCTATTTTAGCCGGCAGTTCATACTGCATCCTCCGGTGGACAAAGCCAAGCGTCGAGTGACCAGAAGGCTGCACAAACTGCCAACAACTTGTGCCCCCCTTGCTTTCACTTGCGGTGAAGTTCAGGTGGCCATCGGGAAGGCGAAAGCCTCCAAAGCCATGGGTCCCGACGGAATATGCATGCTGATGCTGAAAGATTTGGGTCCTGCGGGGGTAGCGTCCCATAGGGCGATTTTGACATAAGCCGTTTGTTTACATTTGTTCGTTGTTTACAATTTGGTGGTGGCTTTTTACTGCAATTTTCTTAATTTTCGCTTGTGACAACGTGTGCACACATAAGGTAAAGAATAATTTAACACAACGACATGATTTATAGGAGAATTTGCATAATAAAAATGATTATTCATGCGTTCAACAATTACGCGTTTTTTTTTGTTCTCTTCGTTGTTTACTTCTTACAACAAAGATGGCGTCGAGATTTCAACAGCTAGAAAATAACTTTTTTCTTTCTTTCCTTAAGGCGTGATCTTGTGTCTTTCGTTCATGCGTTTACGGTTAAGGCCACGAGTTATCTGCGTGTTTATGGCGTTAAGTGCTGTTGTTGTACTGTGCACTTTACGGAAACCATGCTGATGCTTCGCTGGGGCCAGGTGCAGTGTTGCCGTTTTAGTCCTTTGGTGGCTAGATTTAGCTACCACATACTTTTTTTGGCCACATAAATTTAAAATTGCCCTAGCCCTTTTTTTAGCCCTTTTTAGAGTTTATTCATACTTGGCATGAAAAACTTGTATATGCTTAATTTGATCTAAAATTTTTTGTTCATCTATGTAAGAGATGAATTTTTGAACTAAGAATGACTGATATATATACATTAGACTGCATCACTCCCCATACAAAAAAAAAACTTGGTACTATTTTTCCATTGGAATTATAAAAGCTATTATATTTTAAGACGTCCACCAAAATATTTCGG